CCATATATCTCTAGATGGACGAAAGAGCCAGGGGAGGGAGGGAGAGAAAATGACACGGGGACATATCAGTTATCTTTTTGCAGAACTGATGAAGCCCTCCAGGCCGAGGGGACGGTCCTGAGACCAGAGTCAGTCCAGGGCTGAGCCCAGGCCCAGGGGGTGGGCCGGAGGGAGGCAGACCCAGCCAGACTCACGATCTGCCCAGCAGGGGGTGCTCCACAGGACGGCGAGGGTCAGCCACAGCAGCATGGTTTCTGGCTCCTGAGTCCCAAGGCTCCTGGAAAGAAGGGACAGGTCACCAGGCACTCAGAGAGGGGCCCTGCCTGACCCTGTCGGCCGCATCCACGGGCGGGGAGCACCGCCCTACCTGGCCAGGAAAGTCTTGTCAGCTGGTCCTGGCACAGGGGAGTCTTGCACCTGGGCACCCTCCACCGGGCATTTTATACCCCAGGCCGTGTGGGCCCCCATCCAGAAGGGAGGAGGAGTAGGGGACGCCCTGAAGACAGATCGGTGGGGGCTGTTCCTGGGGGAGGCTCCCGGACGGACGTATCGTGTTTGTTGTCTTGGCCCCGGAGCCTAGGCAAACAGAGCGGGACCCTGTCGAGGATTGTGCTGTCACCTCTGAGCACCTGAACTTGACCTTGACTTTGGAGGTGTGGGGAGCTTGCTGACAGCCCTTTCCATGTTGGCTGGACAGGATTCAGCCCCACGAGGGCCCACAGGGGGAATGTCTACAGATGGTTCGTGGGGCCCAGGGCTCCTGCCTTGTGCACAGTTGGGTTGAGGGCCTCATTCAGGTCTGGGCAGAGCCCATGGTCCCTTGGGCTTTCAGGAGTCCAAGCTCCCCTCCCGAGAGCCGGACAGGACTATCGTGTTCTGTGTGTCTGGTGGGAGGGGTTGGCCTCCCAGGGTCTGTCACTTGGAAGGTGTCTGTGATCTTCCCTCAGTGCCAGGTCTGAGAGTAGCTGGGGATGAATCAGCCTTGACGAACAGCAAAGGTGACATGACAGGAGGCACAGAGGATTGGTAGAAGTGAGCCTCCAGGCCAGCCCTCACGAGAGGGCCTGGGGCCAGGCCAAGGACTCAGACTTCATCTGGAGGTCAGAGGGTCCTTCCCAGGGTTCTGGGGACCCTGCTGCTGCAGATGGTCTAAGCTGTGTGTGAGGGCTGGAGCAAAGCTATCCACCCAGCCTCCTCAACCTTTTCGAAGAGCCATCCAGTCATAGTAATCAAGATAAGGCTGAGACCCTGGCCAAGGTGGCTTAGTTGGTTGGGCATTGCCCCCTGCAACCGAAGGTTTGCCAGTTTGATTCCTCATCAGTTGGAAGGGACAGTTTCTGGCTGAACAAAGAGGGATGGCACGAAAGTGGACATGAAGTGCATGTTCATAGAGCCGTGAGTTATCACACGTGCACATGCACACACATGCGCTCACACACGGATGTGCCCTAAACACATATACTTGCCCACTAACCCTATGCATAGGAGATTACACATGCCTCCCACACACATGCCTACACTTGTGCCACCTGTGTAAGAGGCCCCGACCCTGGAGGAGACCCACCCCCTCTTCCACCTTGGCCCCAAGCTGGCCCTGAGGCAGAGGAAGACTCAACACAAGGCACTTTGTCCCTTGGGATGGGGCTCCCCATGAGGGGATTACTGGGCATTTGCAAAGCCATAATTCCCTCTGAGGGCGTGCCCCAGGACTCACTCCATCAGGAGCCCAGAACAATGGAGCCTTCTCCCCAGAGCAGGCCCTGGCCTGGCTGCCTTGTTTGTTGAGGGATGGGTCAGGGCTCGCTGCCCTGGTTTCCCTGCCCTAGGTGTGGAGCTTAGGCATCATGAGGCACAACAGACATGATGGCCTCCATCCCCTATCCTCTCCGCTGGCCCAGCCTGCCTGCTCCCTTATGCAGGGAGCCCCCACCTGCCCTTGGAGGCTGGAACCTGTGTCCTTGGCCTGGATCTCCACTTTCAGAGCTAAGCCTGGCCTGGCCTAGGGAAGCGAGATCCTCCATGTGACCTCATCTGATCCCTGGTGACTCAGGGATCAGAGGAAAGAGCCTGTTGGCGAGGGAAAGGGAATGACTTTTATGGTCTTTGTTTTTGTGTTTATGAGTTTTTAAAATTATATTTTTTTATTGATTTCAGAGAGGAAGGGAAAGGGAGAGAGAGAGATAGAAACATCAATGATGAGAGAGAATCATGGACCGGCTGCCTCCTGCACGCCTCCTTGTGGGGATGGAGCCTGCAACCGGTGCTTGTGTCCTGACTGTGACCTCATAGGTTGATGCTCAACCACTGAGCAATGCTGGATGTGCAACTTTTTTTTTTTTTAATAAATCTTTATTGCTCAGATTATTACAATTGCTTCTCCTTTTCCCCCTCATAGCTCCCTTCCACCCTGTTCCCGCCTCACCCTCTGCCCTTACCCTGCTCCGCCATTGTCCTCATCTATAGGTGTATGATTTTAATCCAGTCTCTTTCTGCATCTCCACTCCCCTTTCCCCCTGATAATTATCAGTCCACTCCCTTTCTTTGCTGCTGATTCTATTATGTTCACCATTTTATTCTGTTCCTCAGATTTTTAATTCACTTGATCTTCTTCCTCTTTTTAAATAATACCTTTCAGCATTTCATATAATACTGGTTTGGTGGTGATGAACTCCTTTAACTTTTTCTTATTTGTGAAGCTCTTTATCTGTCCTTCAATTCTGAATGATAACTTTGCTGGATACAGTAATCATGGCTGTAGGTTCTCGCTATTCATCACTTTGAATATTTCTTGCCACTCCCTTCTGGCCTACATATTGGATAGTTTCTGTTGAGAAATCAGCTGATAGTCGTATGGGTGCTCCCTTATAGGTAACCAACTGCTTTTCTCTTGCTGCTTGTAAGAACCTCTTTTTGTCTTTTGCCCTTGGCAATTTAATTATGATGTGTCTTGGTGTGTTCCTCTTTGGATTCCTCTTGTTTGGTGTTCTGTACTCTTCCAGTACTTATAAATCTATTTCTTTCCCCAGGTGGGGGAAGTTTTCTGATATTATTTCTTCAAATATGTTTTCAGTATCTTGCACTCTCTCTTCTTCTGGGACCCCATAATTTTGATGTTGGTATGCTTCAAGTTGTCCCAGAGGCTCCTTACACTAGCTTCAACTTTCTGGATTCTCTTATCTTCTTGCTTCTCCAGAGGATTGTCCTTTGGCTCTTTGTATTCCAAATCTTTGACTTGATTCATGTGATCCTCTAGTCTGCTGTTGGGTCTCTGTATAATATTTTTATTTCAGTCAGTTTATGTTTAATTTCTAGTTGGGTCTCAATAAATTTATCGGCCTTTTCTAGGAAATTCTTGAAAAATCTTATAACCGTGGTTTTAAACTCTATACCCAGTCTTTTCTTCTCCTCCATCTCTTTCGTTTGAGATTTATTTTCTTGTCTTGGCATTTTTGCTGCTTTCCAGAGTTGGTAGAATGGCTTTCTGAGTCTGGTGGCCTATATGGCACTGTGGGTCAGCCTCCTCAGTTACCTGAAGTAGTCATTCTTGGTGCTCCCCTTTGTCGACTCCATGAACAGCCTTGTTGTAGTTAAGTCTTGATTGTTGTTGGTATCCCTGGGAGGAATTGACCTTCAGGCCAATTGGATGTGGATATCAGCTGTGTCTACTCTGGGATACCTTCTGTATTAAAGACAGTCTTATAGGATCAGACTTGCAAAATTGCAGAAGTCTCAGTGCTCAGCTTGGATGGGGCAGAGTCTCAGGGCTGAGCTGACAGTCTTGGCTTCCCGTCAGCCTTGCCCTTGTGCGCTACCCTGAGTTTCCACCTGACTTCTGCCTTCCTCGACTCCCCTGAGTTTCTGCTTGGCCATGAGTGGCTGCTGCCAAGATGGAAGGCCCACCCTAAGGGGGGCAATCCATCTTTGCATTTCTGAACCTCTCAGTGCTCCCTGACTCGTTTACTCTCTCATTCAAATTCTTTGTTGGATGCAGAGCAATAAACTAAGAATTTATTTGCATTTTCCCCAGAGAAATTAAATAATTTTATTGGAAAACCAGGACACATTTTGCCTAATTGCTTATGTAATTAAGATTCCATTAGTGTAAGCATTGAAAATAAAATGAAACTATCCAAGTATCAAGCTGAAGAGGTCCAGGTCCCAATTCCCCAAGGCAGCCCTGGCTCATGGACTTGTTGCCTGTGTATGAACTGGTGCTGCTGTAACAAATCTATAATCTCGAGGGCTTACACAACAGGTTGTTTACTTACTGAGTCCCCAGAACTCCCACCGCCAGCTCCACTCAGGCCCCCACCCCAGCCTGCCTCCCTCCTTTTGGAGGCTCCACCACATCCCTAGGCCCTGCACGCTTAGAGAATTATTCCCCTGGTAAATATCTCCTTGTTGTTTCCTAGAGTTTAGAGGTGTCTCAGAGAAACAAGCATGTGGGTCCAGCCTTCATCCTGACCCCCGCCCCGCCAGCCATCCTTCCATCTGCCTGTTCTTGAATCTGTATTTCCAAACAGATTTCTGAAACAACGTTCAAACAAGACTATCATTATTTCCAGATAGGATTTCAGTCATTCTTCTCTATTCTTTTTCGGCATTGCTTCAATCTCTATATATAAAAAGCTAATATGCAAAGTGTACCCTCGGGAGTTCTGCTGGGAGACTGGGAGTTGGATTGCTCACTATGAGGTGTCCTGAACATCAGGGGGTGGTACAGAACAAAGGAAGGCCCCAGCTGGCAGCCGGGAGCCTGCAGACGGGGGAAGGGAGGCCCCGATCAGCCCTGATTGCGAGCCAGGCCTAGGGACCCTGCCTGTGTATGGATTTCGTGCACGGGGACTCTAGTTGTTTTTTTTGTTTTTTTGTTTTTTTTAATAATACGGTACCATTTTTACAAAAACAAAGTACTCTTTTGAAAACTGAGATGCATTTTCTCACACATACTGAACCTGCAACCAGGTATATGCCTTTGCCCAGAAAGTGAAATCGGACCCTTATAGTCCACAGGCCAATGCTCTAACCACAGAGCAAACCAGCCAGGGCTCATGGAGGTGTCGTTTTTTTGTGTGTTTTTTAAAAATATATATATATTTTTTATTTTTTACAGAGAGGAAGGGAGAGAGATAGAGAGCTAGAAATGTCGATGAGAGAGAAACATCGATTAGCTGCCTCCTGCACACCCACTACCGGGGATGTGCCGGCAACCAAGGTCCATGCCCATGACCAGAATCAAACCCAGGACCCTTCAGTCTGCAGGCCAACGCTCTATCCACTGAGCCAAAGCAATTTCAACAAGACGTTCTTTTAAATTCTTTTTTATTATTATTGATTGCAGAGAGAGAGACAAAGAGACATGGATTTGTTGTTCCACTTATTTATGCATTCGTTGGCTGATTCTTTTTTTTTTTTTTAAATATATTTTATTGATTTTTTTACAGAGAGGAAGGGAGAGAGGCAGACAGCCAGAAACGTTGATGAGAGAGAAACATCTAACAGCTGCCTCCAATGTACATGCCCTTGACTCGAATCTAACCGGGGACCTTTCAGTCCGCAGACCGACGCTCTACCACTGAGCCAAATCTTCTGTGACCATTTGCTCATTATTACATGGGCCCTGACCTGGGTCACCCCAAGTACTTGCTATATCAGCGCGTTTTTGACTTTCACTTATTTTGGGTTGTGGTTGTTGGTGTAGATGGCTAGAGGATAGTCCCCCATAAAACCCATACGTGTGAAGCTGAGTAAATTCCTTGGGTCTGGTGGAGAGGGCTGGTATGGGGGCTGGTGTAGGGGGCTGATCAGCTAGGGGATAGTCCCACTTAAAACCGATGCCCGTGATGCCAAGGCCGTGGGTCCGGCCGAAGATTCCTGTGAGTATCTTGCCAGGCTCGTTCGGGGAGGCTGTGAAGCTATAGCCTCTTCCCATCCCTAATGGGGCCCAGCGCCCCAAGTTGGTATAGACAACCAGGTAGCTGATGTAGATTCCGTGTGAGCCGACCAGCCCTACAATGTATTCATCTGGCCCCAGGAGGAATTCCTCGGCCCACCCACCTCGGACGCCATAGATTCCGCTCCAGTTGGATCCATATCTCAGCTGGACACTGGAAGAAAGGGGGAGCTTTGAGCCTCATCGCCCCCAGGTCCTCTATCCCTCACACACTCCTCCCCGCAACCATCAGCAAGATCAGCCCCATCCTTGCGACACAGCCCCTGAGCTCAGGAATTGGGGATCCTGAAGCAGACAAGCTGCTCTGCTGCTTTCGGGCTCTGTGGTCTTGGGCTTGTTGGCCAGCCTTCCGGGCCTCACCGTCCCCATCAGCAGCATGGGGGTGGCTGTTGGGAGCTGGCACTGAGATCAACCGTAAGGAGAGCTCTGAGAAACGCCGGGTCACCATGACTCTCTGGCGGAGCCAGCTGTCACCCTTGCTCAGAGCAGGGAGCTGTTCCCCAGCCACGCTTGGCTTTTCTGAGTGATTTCAATCACTCCCAATAGGTCAGGTCACAGGACTGAGAAGCAAGTGACTTCTCACACCCCCCTGGGGGAATCCCACCAGCTTTGCTCATCTGAGTCTGTCTGTGTCCTTCTGCACACATTGATGCCTGTCCAAGAACCTCCTCCTCCACCGCTTCTGGCCCCATACTCTGTCCCTTTGCTCCTGGCTGCCCTCCCCAATCCTCTCTTCCAGGTCCCCGGGACCCCTTCAGTGGAGAGCAAAGATTTCCCCCAGGCTCCAAGCACGGACACCACCCTAACATTAGGGGAATGGGCCTGGGCTTTCTGCCTCGACGGGGTCTGGAGAATTGTGTTCAAGCAGTGGTCCACTCTGACCCTCACTACCTTCCCCTTTGACCCTATCCCCCCCTCTGACTTTCCCATCACAGAGAATTCAGACTGAAAGGCTGCTTTGAGTTGAGTTGAGGTTGTTTAGAAAGAAGCAAGGAGGGAGAAACATTATTTATCCCTTTTTTGAGATCAACCCAAGAAGCAGTGTCTGCACTTGCAGGTGGAGATAGAGGGAAGTGGGACGGGTGTGCAGGAGAGGAGTTGGCTGAGGAAAAGGAACAAGACGAAAGGCGATGGCTGGTGGCTGTGTGACTCCAAACTGGCCTCGGGGAGTCCTCAGGAGCCCCGCGAAGGTGCTGGAGAAGAGTTGCCAAACCCCCCGCCCCAAGTTTTCAAGACCGAGGCACGCGTTAGGACAGAGATCGGACCCTGTGCCCTGCCCCTACTCACCTCCTAATTATGCCTATAAGACTTATGGACACCCGGATCCCAGATATGTCATTTGTATTGTCTGGAGTGGAGCTGAAGTACGTGCCTCTTGCATTCCCATACATCTCTAGATGGACGAAAGAACCAGGGGAGGGAGGGAGAGAAAATGACACGGGGACATATCGGTTATCTTTTTGCAGAACTGATGAAGCCCCTCCAGGCCGAGGGGACGGTGTTGAGACCAGAGTCGGTCCGGGGCTGAGCCCAGGCCCAGGGGGTGGGCTGGACGGAGGCAGACCCAGCCAGACTCACGATCTGCCCAGCAGGGGGTGCTCCACAGGACGGCGAGGGTCAACCACAGCAGCATGGTTTCTGGTCAAAGGGTCCCAAGGCTCCTGGAAAGAAGGGACAGGTCACCAGGCGCTCAGAGAGGGGCCCTGCCTGACCCTGTGGGCTCCATCCACGGGCGGGGAGCACCACCCTACCTGGCCAGGAAAGTCTAGTCACCCGGTCCTGGCACAGGGGAGTCTTGCACCTGGGCACCCTCCACCGGGCCTTTTATACCCCAGGCCGTGTGGGCCCCCATCCAGAAGGGAGGAGGAGTAGGGGACGCCCTGAAGACAGATCGGTGGGGGCTGTTCCTGGGGGAGGCTCCCGGATGGACCTGCCGTGTTTGTTGTCTTGGCCCCAGAGCCTAGGCAAACAGAGTGGGACCGGGTTGAGGATTGTGCTGTCACCTCTGAGCACCTGAACTTGACCTTGACTTCGGAGGTGTGGGGAGCTTGCTGACAGCCCTTCCAGGTTTGCTGCACAGGTTTCAGCCCCATGAGGGCCCACAGGGGGAATGTCTACAGAAGGTACATGGGGCCCAGGGCTCCTGCCTTGTGCACAGTTGGGTTGAGGGCCTCATTCAGGTCTGGGCAGAGCCCATGGTCCCTTGGGCTTTCAGGAGTCCGGGTCAAGCTCCCCTCCCGAGAGCCGGACAGGACTATTGTGTTCTGTGTCTGGTGGGAGGGGTTGGCCTCCCAGGGTCTGTCACTTGGAAGGTGTCTGTGATCTTCCCTCAGTGCCAGGTCTGAGAGTAGCTGGGGATGAGACAGCCTTAACAGGGTGTGGGGTGACGAAAAGTAAAGGTGACATGACAGGAGGCACAAAGATTTGGTAAGAGGTGAGCCTCCAGGACAGCCTTCCCGAGAGGGCCTGGGGCCAGGCCAAGGACTCAGACTTCATCTGGAGGTCAGAGGGTCCTTCCCAGGGTTCTGGGGACCCTGCTGCTGCAGCAGGTATTGGCTGTGTGTGAGGGCTGGAACAGGGCTGTCCACCCGGCCTCCTCAACCTTTTGGAAGAGCCATCAGGTCATAGTAATCAAGATAGGGGTGAGACCCTCTCCAGGGTGGCTCAGTTGGTTGGGCATTGCCCCCTGCAACCGAAGGTTTGCCGGTTTGATTCCTCATCAGTTGGAAGGGACAGTTTCTGGCTGAACAAAGAGGGATGGCACGAAAGTGCACATGAGGTGTATGTTCATAAAGCTGTGAGTTATCACACATGCACATGCACACACATGCACACACATGCGCTCACACACGGATGTGCCCTAAACACACATACTTGCCCACTAACCCTATACATAGGAGCTTACACATGCCTCCCACACACATGACTACACTCGTGCCACCTGTGTAGGAGGCCCCGATCCTGGAGGAGACCCACCCCCCTCTTCCACCTTGGCCCCAAGCTGGCCCTGAGGCAGAGGAAGACTCAACACAAGGGGCTTTGTCCCTTGGGATGGGGCTCCCCAGGAGGGGATTACTGGGCATTTGCAAAGCCATAATTCCCTCTGAGGGCGTGCCCCAGGACTCACTCCATCAGGAGCCCAGAACAATGGAGCCTTCTCCCCAGAGCAGGCCCTGGCCTGGCTGCCTTGTTTGTTGAGGGATGGGTCAGGGCTCGCTGCCCTGGTTTCCCTGCCCTAGGTGTGGAGCTTGGGCATCATGAGGCACAATAGACAGGAGGGCCTCCATCCCCTATCCTCTCCGCTGGCCCAGCCTGCCTGCTCCCCTATGCAGGGAGCCCCCACTTGCCCTTGGAGGCTGGAACCTGTGTCCTTGGCCTGGATCTCCGGTTTCAGGGCTAAGTCTGGCCTGGCCTAGGGAAGCTAGATCCTCCATGTGACCTCATCTGATCCCTGGTGACTCAGGGATCAGAGGAAAGAGCCTGTTGGCGAGGGAAAGGGAATGACTTTTATGGTCTTTGTTTTTGTGTTTGAGGTTTTTTTAATATATATATATATATATATATATATATATATATATATATATATATATATATATTTTTTTTTTTTAAATCAATCTTTATTATTCATATTACTACACAAGTTCCTCATTTTTCCCTCCCTCCACCAGGTCCCACCCCACCCTCTGCCCTTTCCCCACCCTCCATTGTCCTCATCCATAGGTACACAGTTTTTGTTAAGTCTTTTCCCGCATCCACCACTCCCTTTTCTCCCCGAGAATTGTCAGTCCACTCCCCTCCTCATCTCTGATTCTATTATAATCAACAGTTAATATTGTTCATCAGATTTTCCAATTTCCTTTGTGTGTTTTTTTTTAATTAATAAACCTTTGCATTTTTAAGAATAAATTTTAAAATCAACCGAAGAACTTGTATACATGCATATAAGTACAACCAATGGACACAAAACTCTGGGAAGGGAGGGTATGTATAGGAGGGGGGGGGGCATTGGTATATGTACAAAAATAATAATTTAATAAAAAATATATTAAAAAAATAAAAAATAAATAAATAAAATCTAATAATTTTAAACCTTGTTTTTTCTGCCCTGGGAACTGAGAAGCAAACTTGTTTACATGTAAATTTGCCCTTGGCCTATCAACAGGCGTAATCATTCAAATGTAAATGAACACATTGTTTAAAAATAGCTGCTGGCTGGAATTGGATTACCTGTTCTGGGTGGGAAGGGCATGTCCTCCCCTTTCTCCATTAAAATCAACGTGTTAGCTTTAAAACCTCCCCTTGGCAAGAGACCTTAAACTTTCAGAACTTCAAACCTTTCGGGTAGCAAATCAATTACTTAGCATTTTCTCAAATCAATAATACCTCCACATTCCCACGGATACACTTCAAACAAAAGACACTTCCAAATAGATCAACCAACCTCATCCAGACCCCACACAAGGCACTCACAGATCAACACCCCAGCACTACAACAACTCAACACACCCAGATCTAAGCCTTCATCACTTGATTCAGCAGACCCTCAAGTTCCCCCAAAAGTTTCCAGCCATGTCTGAGAGGCAGCCCTGGGGCATGGGCAGGCGAGGAGCGAGCTGTTTCAGGCCCGGCTGCTCTGGGCCTGGCCACTGTTACTCCAGGCCTGGCTGCTGCTGCTCCGGGCCTGGCTGCTCCCAACCTGGCTGCTCCGGATCTGGCTGCTCTGGGCCTGGCTGCGCTGGGCCTGGCTGCCGCCGCCCCAGACCTAGCTGCCACTGCCCCAGGCCTGGATGCTCCAGGCCTGGATGCTGCTCCTCCCGGGCCTGGCTGCTGCTGCTCCAGGCACAGCTGCTCTGGGCCCAGCTGCCCTGGGCCCAGCTACTCCAGGCCCAGCTGCTCTGGGCCCAGCTACTCCAGGCCCAGCTGCTCCCGGCCCAGCTGCCCTGGGCCCAGCTGCTCCCAACCCAGCTACTCCAGGCCCAGCTGCCCTGGGCCCGGCCTCTTCGGGCCAGGCCTCTACCAGCCTGGCTGCTCCGGGCCTGGCTGCTGCTGCTCCGGGCCTGGTTGCTCATGAGCCGGCTGCTCTGGGCCCGGCTGCTCCAGCCTTGGCCACTGTTACTCCAGGCCTGGCCTCTGTTGCTCTGGGCCCAGCTGCTCCAGGCCTGGCTGCTGCTGCTCCGGGCCCAGCTGTTCCCAACCCGGCTGCTCCAGGCCCGGCTGCTCTGGGCCCAGCTGCCCTTGGCCCGGCCTCTCTGGGCCCGGCTGCTCCAGCCCTGGCCACTGTTACTCCAGGCCTGGCCTCTGTTGCTCTGGGCCCAGCTGCTCCAGGCCTGGCTGCTGCTGCTCCGGGCCTGGCTGCTCCTGGCCTGGCTGCTCTAGGCCCAGCTGCTCCAGGTCTGGCTGCTGCTGCTCCGGGCCTGGCCGCTCCCGGCCTGGCTGCTCCAGCCTGGCTACTGCTGCTCCGGGGCCGGCTGCCACTGCCCTGGGCCTGGCTGCTCTGGGCCTGGCCACCACCGCTCCAACATTCTGTCTTTTTCTTTTTTTTTTTTTTTTTTAAACGCATTTATGTTGCAATGTTGGCTGATGAGTTGAGTTCTGTCTTAATCTTCGATTTTTCAAGGTCTTCTTTGTATTCTTTCTTAAGTAATTTTACTATCTTTTTGCTATAACTTGACTTCTTCACATTGAGAACTTCTTCAGTTTCTTCCTCCTCGTCCTGGAAGCTCAGCAGGCTGGCCCGTGGTGCCCCTTTGTTCTCCAGGGCCTCCTGCGCGGCTTCAGCCTGCTGTCGGGGCCGGCGCCGCCCAGGAAGCAGCCCCCGGCCTCGGCTCCGTGGCCCGCGATCAGCAGTCGAGGGCCCAGAGGCACCTCCCCCCCCCGGGGGCCCTGTCGCCTGGCTCCTTGCTGGCGCCCAGTGGTGGCTCCTGCTCCTCACTGTGCTCTTCCAGTCTGGACCTTTTGTCTCCTTCCCGCCAGGGCAATCCCGCGGCACAGCCAACCGTCCCTTCTCTGCGTGCAATGTGCGTGCCGCCGGGGGCTCTGCCTTTCACCGCTCCCCCGGGTTTCTGCCTTACTGCCCAATTTCCCTCTGTATGAGCCTGGGTCCCCAGGGTCTGGCTTAGAACTGGGGTTCAGCACAGTCTGGAGCTTTTGTCTCCTTCCCGCTAGGGCAATCTAGCTTCAGTCAACAGTCCGTCCTCTACACACAATGTGCGCGACTCCGGGGGCTCTGCCTTTCACCGCTCCCCTGGGATTCCGCCTCACCGCCCTGGCTCCCTCTGTTTGAGCCTGGGTCCCCAGGGTCTGGCCTAGAACTGGGGTTCAGCGCTGTCGGGTCTGGGGTTCAGCACAGTCCGGAGCTTTTATCTCCTTCCCGCTAGGGAATGCCAGCCAGGCACTCAGCCGCCCCCTCCTCTCAGCGCACAGGCACAGCGTGTCTCCGTACCTTAGGCTTTTACAGCTCCTCTGATTTTCCTTCTGGTTTTCTCTTTCCTTCTTGTTGTAGAATTTCCAGTCAGTTGACTTCTTGTAGTTCTGGCAATGTCCATTTTATATTTTAGTTGTATTTTATTGAAATTGTTGTGTGCGGCTGCAGTTAGGTGTTTACCTGTGCAGCCATCTTGGATCCTCCCTCTTTCTTCTTGTAACTCTAAAATATATATTTTTAT